AAATTTTGCACCATCCGGAGTAGCAGAATGAAATTTTGTGCTCTCCTGTTCCATTCTCTTGCAACATGAATCGTACTTTTGTTCAACATGTGTGCTGTATATATTATGTGCCTACTAGTCATCTTTGAGATATTTTCAGACAGACCACTTTCACAAACTTTTATTATACAGTATGTTTTATAATTTTTACAGTATTTATTATTAAGCTTTTCTGTGATCTAACTTACAAATTAAACTTTATCATAGATATGAATTTATAGAAAAAATAGAACATACAGATAGAACCTGACTTAAAATGATTGGTTTATGATTTTTATGTTGAGTGTATTCACTGTAAGCCATCATTACCCATCTGAGAGCATCTGCACTTATGATGGTTGTATTTAGGATTTTTTTACTTTATGATAGGTTTATCATGATAGTAACTGAATTTTTTACTGACGATATTTTTGATTTACTGCTGGATTGCTAAACCTGGATAAATTAAGGAGCATCTGTATGGGATTTAGCACTTTCTGTGGTTTTAGGAATTCATTGAAGGTCTTAGAACATATTTCCTGAGAATAAGGAGAGACTACTGCATACTAATTCCCTAAACCTTAGAAGAATATTCTTGATTCTGTATATTGGTCTATTTCTCTTCTTAAGGAAAAGAAGGAATTTCATTTAACACTCAAGTTCCCTAGCTCCTTTCCACTCAATCTTTTAGGAACCCACTTCTACAAGTCTTCTGTTCATACTTCTCCACAAAACAACAATAAAAAAATACATTTGTGAAGTATAAAAATGACATCCATGTTTCCAAACCCCATGGTCCATTTCCAGTTGACATGTTTATATGATTGACTTGTCTCTCCCAGTTCACAACTACTGCTCTTTGCTGGTTCTTCTCCTAATTTCTTAGGTGTGTATACTGCAGGATCCCAGGGCATTCTTTTTGCTCCCTACTCTACACACCTTCATCTTCTCATCCAGACTACAGCTTTACCTATCATTTGTAGGCTGACAGAGACAAATGTTTCATTTCCAACCTGATTTTTAAAAATTCTCTATTAATAATACACTTTTCTATTTACCTCTTACATGTCAAATATGCTCTCAGAAGGAATTTTTTCAAAACCAAAATTTTGGTCTTATGTTCCAAAACTCTTCCTCCCACAATTCCTCCATTTCTGGAAATGGCAGCTCTTCCCAGTAGTTCAACTTGACTTTGAAACCTGACACCTTATCTTTCTTTTTTAATTCATATGTGCATGCAATGCTTGGGTCATTTCTCCCCCCTGCCCCCACCCCCTCCCTTACCACCCACTCCGCCCCCTCCCTCTCCCCCCCCTCAATACCCAGCAGAAACTATTTTGCCCTTACCTCTAATTTTGTTGTAGAGAGAGTATAAGCAATAATAGGAAGGAACAAGGGGTTTTGCTGGTTGAGATAAGGATAGCTATACAGGGCATTGACTCACATTGATTTCCTGTGCGTGGGTGTTACCTTCTAGGTTAATTCTTTTTGATCTCACCTTTTCTCTAGTACCTGTTCCCCTTTTCCTATTGGCCTCAGTTGCTTTTAAGGTATCTGCTTTAGTTTCTCTGCATTAAGGGCAACAAATGCTAGCTAGTTTTTTAGGTGTCTTACCTATCCTCACCCCTCCCTTGTGTGCTCTCGCTTTTATCATGTGATCAAAGTCCAATCCCCTTGTTGTGTTTGCCCTTGATCTAATGTCCACATATGAGGGAGAACATACGATTTTTGGTCTTTTGGGCCAGGCTAACCTCACTCAGAATGATGTTCTCCAATTCCATCCATTTACCAGCGAATGATAACATTTTGTTCTTCTTCATGGCTGCATAAAATTCCATTGTGTATAGATACCACATTTTCTTGATCCATTCGTCAGTAGTGGGGCATCTTGGCTGTTTCATAACTTGGCTATTGTGAATAGTGCTGCAATAAACATGGGTGTGCAGGTGCCTCTGGAGTAACAGTCTTTTGGGTATATCCCCAAGAGTGGTATTGCTGGATCAAATGGTAGATCGATGTCTAGCTTTTTAAGTAGCCTCCAAATTTTTTTCCAGAGTGGTTGTACTAGTTTACATTCCCACCAGCAGTGTAAGAGGTTCCTTTTTCCTACATCCTTGCCAACGCCTGTTGGTGGTGGTGTTGCTAATAATGATGGATATTCTAACACTTTATCTTATTGAAAAAGTTCACAGCTTCTGTTCCTTCTTTCAGTCTTATTCCAATGGAGCTCATTGTCCACAGCCTGGAATGACTATGTTAGTGCCCTGGGTCACCTCTTTGTTCAGAAACCTCCTCCCAAGACCTTCACATTAAATCCATACAGGATCCATAGTGCACTGCAAGTTCTGGTCCCCATTTTTTTTTACTTAATCTTCTATAATTTCTCCTGAATCCACACCATTATGCCTATGGCAGCCCTTGCTTTTCCTCACTCTCCTCAAATTCCTGCACTTCTTAAGAAAAGTCTTTGGAATCTCACTCCTCCTACCTTGAGCACTTTTCCCCAAACATCAGAATAGTCACTTCTTTGTCCCATTCTGACCTGTTATGTTTAATTTATTTATGTTCCCAGATTTTGTCTTCTATCATAGGAGTGTAAATTCCACCAGTCTTTTTTGTTAATTATTTTTTGTCTGTTTTGTTCACAGCCTTATCTTTTCACTGAAAAATGAATAAATGTTTAGAAAGCTCTCAGTAAATATTTATCTAATGAAAGGATACTTAAGTTTTGAAGATAGCTCATACATAGTTAGGCTGGGGGCCTGATTAAGATCAGAAATGCTTACTGCAGGGGGACAGTCTATCACTGGGTAGAAGTCATCTGTGAATATTCTACAAGTAGATGAAAATGTAAGTCTCAGTACTCATTGAATTGGGTAAAAGAGCAGCAAATGTCTTCAGTGAGTTCACACAGAAGTGACCCCTGAAGTCCGTGGAATTGGATGTGCTTGGCAGAGCTGATCACTTAAGCAGACAAAGATGAGGAGACATTGGAACAGGGCCACCTGTGAATCCAACTGTCTGCTGCTGCTGCCTGGGATTGTTTCCTACTCCCCCTCCCCCACTGGGATCTAAAAATCTAAAGTCCAAATCAACATCAAAGGATTGACAAATAGTTGACAAGGTAGACAGGAAAAATTGAAAGCTTTAGTCTTTCTAAAAATGCCTGGATATTTAGAAACTTGACTTTTTTATAACTAAAATATAATCTCCAATTTAACAATGATGTAGATATTTTTGAGAAAAAGTTATTTGTTACAGTATTTTTTCCCAGTTACAATATTCAACAATACATCTCCTTATTAAAATTTGAATTGCATCTTTTTGTTGTTTTATTTTCAATAACACACAGGAATATCTCACATTTTCCAAAACTTTACAGCCCTTTCCATATCAGGTAGACTGAAAATGTATTGACACTGAAAGTATTCAAAATCTGCATGACAATTTAGCTGCTTGCACCAAAAGTGAATGGAGGATTTTCAGGGTCAGTGAAAGCAAGAGGAAAAACTCTAGTACAAATAGCATACCACTAACGTTACTAAAGTGAGCTATTAAAAATAAAGCATCTAAGATAATTATCATGGAGTTGCTAAAAAGCTTATTTTCTGTGGAAGCATTTTAGGGATGAGAATAGTTAAATGGATGGCTTTTACTGTTTTCTAGAATAAGTCACTATTGCCATAGGAAACTGACTACAACATACAGAAGGTTTGAAGATAACAAGCCTTCTTTTTGAGACAACATACTATAGCTTCTATGTTGTTTAGGTCTGCGAATATATATTATGCAATGTTGTACTCCTGTGATGACCTGAAAAAAAATTTCCTAGAATATTTTGTTTAAAAGATGTTCTGGTATATATGTAATATTACAATGAGTACTAGTTGATTGGATATTTAGTATTATTTTCCACTGCCCTGAACTGTAAATTACAAACACAATGAGTGGTCTGCAAATCAATTGTAATTTGACAGCATATATTACAAATAGATAATGAAATAACAAGGTTACCAGTAATTTCAAGGATTTATTATCCATTAATTATCATCATTGTGGAAAGTTCTGCATATTAACTTCATTAGGCACATTAATAAGTGTTCTTTCAATCATCCTTGAATTAAAGCATGCTTATGACACTAGTGCTGGTCTTTCATAAAAATGTTCATGATATCATCCTTTAAAATCTATCCTGAGCATTCTGAGCTTTGTCTTGGGATTTTTCAGATGCTCTGACATCATTTGTGGCTTGAATAAAAAACCTTTGTTTCCTATTTTTGTTGCAATATATATCATTTGGCTGTAACTGAAAGGTGAACTACAAATTTCCCTAAGTATATAACTGGGAAACATATTTCTAAAAATCCAGAATAAATTAGTGGATTGTATTTGATTTTTACTTTCTATTGTAAATATGCCATGTGCACCATTAAACAGCCACCTAAAACAATTATAACAAATGCATGAATTACTTTTGTAAGTGAACCATTTGGCTCCTAGTGCTACAAACATTCATTTTCCCTTGATTTCAGTAGCTGACGTTCATTTCCAATGCAGAGTCACTCATCCTAATGAACAGTGAAGAATGTTTTTATTCTCATGCATTTTATCATTTGAAACATGTATTAAAGATATAAAAATACTTTACATTAAGGTACTCCCAAGATTCTCTGAACTTACACATTATCAAAAGTAAGATTCAACTTAGTGGAATATATTTCTATGCAGTATTTGTCGACCCTGAAGTGACTTTCCTAGGTGATAAGAATACTTAGTCCTCCTGTCTCTTATCCATCATGTTGGGATACAAATTACCATGCAAAAAAGCCATTTCAATATTGACCAAAAATGTCTATATTATAATGTAGTTTCCATACATTATATGTCATTCATTCTGGATAGGTTTACTGCACTTGAAAAAAAAAGGTGTGGATATTATCAATTTTGTAAAGAGTTCTGACCTATTTCTCTTTCCCTTTCAGGAGTTGGAATTTTCAAATCTATTTGCTGTTCTTCACTGCATTCACTCATTTTTTGCTGCCAAAGTAGCTTGTTTGGACCCTCTATTTTTAGGCAATCAGGCTACTACTTCTGCTGCCTCCAGCTCTGCTACTACAAGCAAAGCAAAGTATACAACTTGACATACTGAGCTCTGTCTTGACACTTACCATGACTAAATAAACCAATAACCATATTCATCAAGTAAGAAATCTTGATGTCATCACATCAACAATGGAGACAGATTGAAATTTCAGCAGAATAAGGAAGGTCATGAGGCATCTCAAACATGTTTCTAATCAGGAAGATATCTGTAAATAATCCTAAATGAAAACTTGGCCAGTTTGTACCAGTATACTGCTTTCACCAAAAGTGGAGACAAAAAAGAATGGTATAAAGAAGTATGTAAATAATATAAAAATTGTAAGCTACCTATAAATAAAAATACCAATTAAATGGTTATTTCTGTATTTTAGATTATTTTGTATGACAGATACATATTGGGCCAAATCATGAACTAAAGCCCTATCATTGTGTTATGAGTGTAAAGAGGTTAAAAAAATGAAAGCAAGGAGCATGCAAAAAAAATCTCATCAGAACAAGGAAGTATTTTAATTTAGTGATGTGTATTTCTCCTCGTATTCTCTCATTCCATGGCTGTACACTGGCACTTGGTTCTGGTTATCTGATTGTAAATATTCTCAAGAATGGCATGAAGATAGCTATGTTGGCCTATGATAGACACAGTATGCAATGAACTGTTTCTCCCTGGGATTGCCATTATGCAATGGTTTTTCTTAACTGCCAGTGTCAATCAAATATGCCAAAATCTATTATGGAAAAATTCATGAATCTCTTGATCTGCACTTCATTTTAAACAGATTTATATTTTACTTAATGAGATTTATTATCAAATTAAAGTCTTATAAATTTTCAGTGACCCCAAAAACTTGTAGAGAAATACCAACAAACATGGTGTAAGAGACAAAGATTTTCAACCTAAATCTACTGATGATCTGAGATGCCCCAACAAAAGAATCTCAAAGGCATTATTGATGTTATCTAAACAAGCTTTCCATCTGAGCACTATTTTATGAGAAAATAAGATTTGAAAATAAATGTCCAAGTGTCATAAAGAATGATTTCAAGTAATCCCAAATTAGTTGAGTTATATTAGGGATCTTGTTTTAGGATTATTAGGACTATAAAAGTGGAGAACTGGAAATTTGAAAGCCTTGGAGGTATGCACCCCGACTCAGAGGTCAAGTACTACACAGCTAGCTACATAACGTGGAAAACATTCTCGCTCCTTCACACATCCTTATTGATGTCTGCTTTTAAGCAATTTGCTGCTTTTTAAAAAGTTATAATAAAAAGGTTTTTATTGACACACACCTTTATAAGTAAATCAAATACTATGCTTCCTTTCAAGAGGGATGAAGCATGTTATAAACAGCCAAATTTTCTTAAGTAGGAAAGAAAAAAGCCACTCAAGATTCAAAAAGGAAACAAAACTATTTGTTTAAAGAACACATACCATTGAATGAAATGAATATCAAGGTATTTTCATAATCATTATGAATTTTAATACATTTTTCTTTGGATTAATTACTAAATGCATCCAATTGAAAAGAAATAGTGGTTCCTAACTGGACTGAGAAAGCGTTAAGTTGGATCTGACCAAAAGGACCATGGCAAATAGGATTAATTAAGTTTTAATATATTTTGTTTTGCCCATACTGTTGAATCCATACCCATAATTAGGATAGCACATCAGAATTATTCCTTATCACATTGGTCAATCATAACAGTCATAGTAGAATTTGAAATCCATTCAAATATGACTTCAGAAAGTCATTTCTGAACTTATGGATAGAGTAAAGAGAGGCATCATCCACCTTAGGATCCTAAGCACTGCAAAACGATTTATTATAGAAAGTCTGCTACTCATTAGACTTGAATCTCAGTGTACCCCATATTGGGGTTAGATCAATGTGCTCGCAGCATGACGATCTGGTCTGTAGGCAACAGGAAATGGGCTAGATATCAAAAAACAACATACAAATAAATGAAAATAACTTTTAAAATGTTAATAAAATGATACAGAATCAGTAAAATTAATGTCAAACTTTATAAAGAATCTATTTTAAAGTATAATAACCAATTTAATTAAATGATCTGTTTCTTACATCACAAAAATTTAGCTTGTGCTCACGTACCTGATGACAGCAAGTGTACACAATGGGTACATATGAACATGTGGCTCCTTGTCTAATGTGCACAGGACATAGATGCATGCACATATACACATACGTGTACATATAGGATAAAATGCTGACCCTAAACTATATTGAAAAATGGTTCAAATACATACACTTAATGTACTTTTTGTTGTAAATTGTTGCTTGAATTAAAACCTATGACAATATCCTTATTGTTATATTTTTGATACTGTTGGTAAAATAAAAAAATTAAAAAACCCACCAAGCCTAAATTGCTATTTGACAAGATCAGTGGAATAACTACCAATTAGAAAAATACCATTCTGATTTTTGTCAGAGTAACACTTCACAATTAGTGCATTCCCTACACCATGATTAACTTATTATGACTTGGACTACTTGAGCGAGAAAGTTTAGAAATGAACAGAAATGCTCCTAGATTTCTATTTCTCATGCAATTTAGGTTTAGCCATCTTAGATTTGTTTATTGAATCCTGGATTGTGCGTTGAGCACAGCTGCACAGCAGGATGCTTGATTATGTGTTAATTCCTCCAGTGCCTTGGTATAGGGTGTTTGCTTGCCTGAGTGCGTGCTTGTGTGAATGAGTGTGTACGTGTGTAATTGTTCAAGGGTTCCTCATAGTCCACATGGTGCAAGCTCAAAAGGCCATACTATAGGTATTTTGGTCATAGAAGGGAATTCAAAATCATCTAAAAACTGATGCCATAATAATGTCTTTTGCCTGATAAAGAATAACAAATCATTTAAGGTGAAGTACATTAGAGCAGGGCATTTTCAATTTGTTATATTGCAACAAGTATTTATTTAAAAATATTTTAACAGATGGTTAAATGTAAAGTATTCCCAATACTTACCATCTAATCTTATTTTTAAAGGGAGAAAAATCAGCTAGTCATTTCTTGCCTATATTTCAGGCTTGAGCCAATTTATTGCTTTAAAGCCTTCACTCATAAAACTGTCATTCAGCAGAAAGTAAAGCAATTACTTGAAAATAAATGCCAGGACCATATTAGCAAGCAGCAGAGAAATCTTCCTTTGTGTGCATTAGTTTATGGGTCCTCATACTTCCTTCATTTACAGTGACAAAGTTTGTTCATAAACATTGTCTGTGTTGAATGCTGGATCTAAAAGTTTGACTTATTACTGAGGAAAAGTAATAATCCTAAAAGTAATTTAAAATTACTGCTTGGAATGAGTGGTGTGGAGAAGCTTTAAAAGTACAAGGACAATCTTGTGCTTAACTTTTTAAGGTAAGTGTAGATGTTCCAATATTAATAATAAACATTTTGCTACTCTCAATACTATTGTATTTATGACCTTTCCTTAAGGAATCACTTTATCTGTACCTCTAAAATCATTGTTTATAATTAATTCTTATTATCTAACACTTTAAAATCATGTCATTACTTTGCACATTATAATTTACTTTGGAAGATAAATAAAAAATTATAAATATTATATATTTTATACATATTAAAATGCAATGAAAATTCAAGAAATATGAAATGTAAATATATTTATTTCATTTTTAATTGTTTTGTTGGATGTTTGTAAAATGTAAATTAATATCTATGACAAAAATTTGTCACTTTGTTCTTTCAGTTCATTAATGTACTACTAACAAAACTGTATCTTTTTTAATGAAGCATACTGGAAAATAAAAACAATTGCTTTTTACTACATCTGTTTTTTTTCATTTTCTTAGCTTTGTTTTTGTAAGTTGCATATATGTTTACATCATGATCCTCAGAAACTGCCCACCAGGCAGCATGGACCATTTGGAACATGATCTGCTCTGGTTCATCAATATTTTTGAAAATTTCATATCTGACCTTCAAAAGATCCCAAAGACTGAACAAAGATGCTAAGTGCTGTAATACTTAAACAACCAAAGAGTTACAACTTTTGAAAGCAAGACAAGGTGAATGTCTGTATAATGGTCTATTGAGAAATGAATGTATGCCGAGAGGGAGAGGCCTGTGCTCAGTGGACATCATTATCTTGTCATTAGTGACTGAGGAACTATTCAGCAAGGTGAATTCTACAGACCACAGCTGTCTTTCAGGTAATTGCAGTGCTCTCAGAAATCACAAGAACAATTCTGATTTTATATTATCCATGTTACTAAATGAATACTTTTACCTTCTCTTGCTTTTGTGTTCACATTTTGCTTTGACAAACAAAAAATAAAAACAAGCCTCCACTGAAAAAAATAGAGCATGCCTATTATTTAAATTATTAAAAGTACAAAGGAAAATAAAGTGATATCATATTAAATCTAATCCACTAAAATAAACACAGCTCATTTAGATGAATATTTTACTATGCATATTCCTTTGTTTATATAGATACAAAAAGGAAGCACATTCACATACAAATATGTAGACTTAATTGATTTTATAAAAGTACCCAATACTGGGTGTAACTCAGTGATAGAGCACTTGCTTCCTCAGCACAAGGCTTTGGCTTTGAGCTTCATCACTGCAAAAAAATTAAAAGAAATAAATAAAAATAAAAATACTCCAATAAATATAACATAAAATGAAAAAATTTTGTTTGGAGAAAATATATGAACAAAATTGACAAAATGCTTATTATTTAGATCGAATGAGTATAAATGACTTGCTACAGAAAATTTACGCTTTTTAAAAGAAAACTGCATATTAGCAGAAGGTGGAATTATGCATAAATGTTAAAAGGGCCATGGGTTATATTCTCAAGAATATATTTTTAAATTTTAAGCTAAAATTCTGAATATAGAAGAAATACTTGTTTCAGAGTCTCAGTACCACTTGGTTTGTCACTCTTTTCCTCCCCGTGCAGTTTAAATTCCCATTAACCTCATGACTGATAACATTGAGTATCTTGTCATATGCTAGTCCATCATACAATTATTGTTTCCTGGTGAAGTGTCTCTTCAAATCATTGAATATTGAACCACTTTTGTTTAATCACATTGTTTTCCTATTGAGTGTTGAGAAAGCTCATAGTCTGGAAACAAGACCTTTAGAAGTTCCTCACAAATATTTTT